ACAGATGATATACCTAAAGCAGGCCCTTCAGTCAGGGGTGGGGAAGAGATGGCAGGAAATGGAGTTTGGGAACTGATGGCCAGGCCAGGAGACACTGATGCTCAGCCACTTTTTCTCCTTGAAATAGTTCACGAGGGCCTGTTCTTGCCTTCAGCTCTGTCTCCCCTAACTCTGCGAGACAGGCTGGAATGGGAGCAGGGTGGTCACCTGCTGAATCAGTCACTGGGAAAGCCGGGTCTGCAGGAGCCTCCCCCACCACCCACCATCAAAGGCCTTCAGGAAGGGCAGGATGCCGAGCCCACCAGACCCGGCCTCCAAGCGCCCAGCCAGTGCCATGAACCCGGCTATGTGAACAACCATATATTTCAAACCCTCTGACAATGTAATACCACATGTTGTAAAGTAGTGTTGAAAATACTGAGAGGTGTCAAGAATGAGACAACACCCACCTGTGATCATGCCACCCAGAGATCACCGCTGTGGAGAGGAATCCCACCTTGGTTCCACAGCAGCCATCCGACCAGGGCTGAGGGAGATGCCTGGGGGATCCCCCTTTATAACCACACACCCCTTCACCTGCCCCAGCTGACCACATCCCCACAGGCAGATGTGCCAGCTCTGTGCCCACCTCCACCTGATCTCACATCCAAGCCTCACAACAGCCCTGCTGGGTATTGAACGTGACTTATTTTCCAGACAGGGCAAGTAACGCTTCAGGTCACCAGCCCAGGGTCACCCAGAGAGTGGCAGACTGAGACCAAAGCCCCATTTTAATCACAATGATAAAAAGTAATGCTCTCACCAATAAGAATACAATTAGATCCACACATACAGAATCTTTAAGGACATCTAATTTCAGGTACACGGACCAGAGGCAGGGCCTGGCTGTGTTTGCATTCTGCTGCCAAGCACGCCCTGGCCTTTCTTGGCTGCGAGTTTTCCACGGCCTGGCCTCGCGCAGCCGGGTGAGAAACACCTTAGGTGTGTCCTGAGGCTGACACCTGCCCGCTTCCTGGAATGTTTCTGACCACGAGGTTGAGGAAGACCAGGCAGAGGCATCTCATCCCGGAGGACCATCTCTCCATCTCCACCCGACTCCAACTTCTAAAATTCGGAAAATTCCCCTAACCACACACTGATAGTCAGTTAGGGAAACAATCCCCGCCTCTGCTCACATCCAGAGTGGGGGGTGGCATTCCGCCTGGCCCAGGGACCTCGAAGCAGCAAGTCCAGAAAAATGTGTCTATATTGGGACTGACAGGTGACCAGGAAAAAAAGAGTGAGTAGATCTCAGAGCTCATGGTCAGCTGGCAGTCTGTGTGCCGCCAACTATGACGCGTGCAGTTACTGCCTTCGTGCCTCTTTGCCAGGAGCATCTCCCACGCACCCCAGACCCCCACCAATCCCTTCCTTCTAGGATCAACACCAGAACAGCCAGGCATGGACCCCCTCCCCTCTTCTCTTACGGGACAGAGGTGCTCTAACTTAGCATCTGACAAAGGACTGAAGGTCCTGTGAGCTGGGAACTGTCTCCCATCCTGACTCCCAAAGACCCCCAAGATCCTCCTTTCTACATGTGGTATTGAACGTGACTTATTTTCCAGACAGGGCAAGTAACGCTTCAGGTCACCAGCCCAGGGTCACCCAGAGAGTGGCAGACTGAGACCAAAGCCCCATTTTAATCACAATGATAAAAAGTAATGCTCTCACCAATAAGAATACAATTAGATCCACACATACAGAATCTTTAAGGACATCTAATTTCAGGTACACGGACCAGAGGCAGGGCCTGGCTGTGTTTGCATTCTGCTGCCAAGCACGCCCTGGCCTTTCTTGGCTGCGAGTTTTCCACGGCCTGGCCTCGCGCAGCCGGGTGAGAAACACCTTAGGTGTGTCCTGAGGCTGACACCTGCCCGCTTCCTGGAATGTTTCTGACCACGAGGTTGAGGAAGACCAGGCAGAGGCATCTCATCCCGGAGGACCATCTCTCCATCTCCACCCGACTCCAACTTCTAAAATTCGGAAAATTCCCCTAACCACACACTGATAGTCAGTTAGGGAAACAATCCCCGCCTCTGCTCACATCCAGAGTGGGGGGTGGCATTCCGCCTGGCCCAGGGACCTCGAAGCAGCAAGTCCAGAAAAATGTGTCTATATTGGGACTGACAGGTGACCAGGAAAAAAAGAGTGAGTAGATCTCAGAGCTCATGGTCAGCTGGCAGTCTGTGTGCCGCCAACTATGACGCGTGCAGTTACTGCCTTCGTGCCTCTTTGCCAGGAGCATCTCCCACGCACCCCAGACCCCCACCAATCCCTTCCTTCTAGGATCAACACCAGAACAGCCAGGCATGGACCCCCTCCCCTCTTCTCTTACGGGACAGAGGTGCTCTAACTTAGCATCTGACAAAGGACTGAAGGTCCTGTGAGCTGGGAACTGTCTCCCATCCTGACTCCCAAAGACCCCCAAGATCCTCCTTTCTACATGATAACGAATAGCCACCATTTACCAAGTGCCTCACACTTGCTAAGCATGGCTGTGGGGTCTCTATAAACCCCATCTCACGTAATCTTCACGATAACTGTGTGCAGTGGGTATTAGTCTCACCTTGCAGATTAAAATACAGGCTCACAGCAAGTGGGTGATTTGCCCACAGTCCCATACACAGGAAGAGGCAGGCCAGGGGACAGGGATCATGTGTGCAGCCCACCCGTTACTATGTCCCCAGTACACACGTTACACTCATGTAAGTGCTGCAGAAGGAGGCTGAATCATCTAGGAATGTGAAAAAATGATGCAACAGCCCCTCGAGAAAGAGGCCAGGGAGCCAAGCTTGCTGATCTTGCCTTACTTTCCCTTAATCTCAAGGACCCCATTTCAAATGTGTCTCAGTGAAAAGGTCTTAGCTCACGTTTGCGTCCATCTCTCCCATCACTGCATCCTCTACCTCTCGTATTCTTGGACCACTTCTAATTTTGTTCCTGCAGTGAGAACAGGTATTCAGGTGTAAGGGTGGGAAACAGACATTTACTGAGGACACCCTCTATGCCCAGAATAGCAGAGATATATTTTATGTCTTCTCCCTCCTCCACCTGCTTAGTTTATTGCCTGAAGTCTCTTACTTAACTCAAACAAAATGATTTGTTCTAATTAAAGCCTGCAAGGGGAAGCTGGTCTTGGCTACTTCTACCAAAGTTTGCATTTCTATAAAACCAAATAAAGCCAGTGGCAAGGACTCACAGATGTTGGTTATTCTAAGAACCCCAAGCAGCTGTAAAAAGGGACCCCGCTTTCTAACACCATGGGAAAGACCAGGGCTTCTCATGCTGCAAAGAGGACTGTTTGTCCCACTAACAGGGAAGAGGAATTCACTTATTGCAGCATCTGCTTAATGAGCCGCTTCCATTGAGTCCTTCCAGACCCGTCTGCTTAACCTATGAACCAAACTGACTCCCAATATTTGGATTGAGAAGGGAACCAAGTCACCCCAGCTTGTCACTCAAGGTTTTTTTTTCATTCCCCTGGAAACCATATTGAGGGACAGTGTATTGGTCCTTCAGTGTGGTCAGGAGTGACGACACTTCAACCAGACACCTGGTCCCAGGGCTGCTGATCCCTTGTAGGGGCCCTTGCAGAGCTTCCTGATTTCTGGGCCTCAGAATCTCAAAAACGAGGGTGCACACTGGCTTGCGGCGAGAAAAGACAAGAGAGTGTTAATAGGGCAGGCGCCAGCCACCGTTCAGAGGCCGTCTGCCATTGCTTCGCTTCTGGTCTGCTGCCCACTGCCGTTCCGGGGAAGCTCTCTACTGCCTTTGACTGTGCAAAGAGCCCTTCAGGTCCACCCCTACCTGGAGGGCTAGAGCTGTGCTGAGAGGCTAGGGGAGCAGTCCAGGTAGTGTTACTGCAACTCACATCCTGGCTCTGCCACTAGCCAGCCATGAGCTCAGGTCAGTCACAGCCTCTCTGAGCCTCCGTTTCCTCATCTGTAAAACAAGGTAGAAAGATTACTCATGAGGCGGAGTAGCTGTGAGGAAGACATGATGGCTGTAACGCTCCTAGCACTCAAAGACTGGCTCTTAGAAATAGGGAGACGTGGCAGGGGGCGGGGAAAGAGAAAGCAGTGGGCAAAATGACCGGCAGTAACCTGGGTGAAGAGCAACAGGAGAAACGAAGGCCATGCCATGGATGGGAGGCAAGAACTTGACAGAATGTCCTCCTCCCGCACCCTGAGTGCTTCACTCAGAGGCGGTTTTACTCCTGCGGGGAAGGGGCTGGGGGGAAGGAACAAATAAGCAAGAACGCCCAGGCTCCTGGGACCTCAAGTCCCCACCTCGTCCTTGCTGGGTCACGGCCAGGCTTGTGTTCCGTGTCCTTGCTCTTTCTTGCTGCTCGCTGTCCTCTCCCAGACACCTTTCATTTTCTGAGCACTACGTGCTGGGTAAGCACTTTATATTCACCATCCTGAGAAGCAGGGCCTCTGACCAGTCCAGGCTACAGGTGAGACACGGGTCCCAGGGGTGCAGTCGTGGGGGCACAACGGCAGCAGTGAAGCTCGAACTGCCCCTAAGGTTGATGGGCACCAAGAATTTAACTCATGGGGCACAGGGCCTGAGGGAAGTGAGAGGGCACCTGTCGGCAGGACGAGCAGCCACTGCTTTTTCCTTTCGAATGACACGCAACCTGTGGCTCTCAGATTTCAGTGGCTCTTGTCAAATTCCAGAAAAGAGAGTCTGTTTTGCCAGTCAGATTTCTGCTTGATGTGAGCATCCCGCCCCTGCTCTTGATGCCACACAGGCTACAGACAACTGCCCGCTGGAGGGTGATGGCAACGGGCAAGGCAGCAGACAAGCTTCCTTTCCTCGAACATGCAAGATGCACTGGCAGCTGCCTCCTCATCCTGGATGGTGTCTCTCCTTCCCAGAGGCAGGGCTCTCCTGGGACTGTGCTGGTACCCCCAGCCATTCACAAACAGCAAGACAGCTAGAATAATGAACCACCACAATCTGAAAACAAAACATTTTATTCGATGCAGAAATTCTAAGGTACAAAAACAACATTTTGCAAATGTCAGCTGTGATCTGTCTCCTATTTAGTTATGTACAATCAAAATAGATGTTCACGTCCTCAGTGTAACAGTACAGTGCACTGCTACGGTCCACAGCCCTCACGACGCCTCCGCGTCGCACAAAGGACAAACTCAAGGGTAAAACACACACTGCGTTCCACAGGCTTCCCCTCGGAGCACTCATGGGGAGCTTCCGCAGTGAAAAAGAACTATTTTATCCAACAGTGAAAATAGAACCTACCTATTCTCTACATGACCACAGTTGGTTTTTACAAAAATTTTTGCTCTCTCCAGACTCGCCATGGGTTTAAGAGAAAAAAACAACATTCTAAAAAAAATTAACAAGACACATAACACACTGGGGAAATCCAATGGTACCTTTTGTGTAACAGATGGAGCAGCCACATCACGTACAAACAAAAGAATGTTTCTCTGACTCTTAGATGAAATTGTTTGATAGAAACATCAGATAAGCAGTCATCATGGTCTGCTTTGTCAGACTCCTGGCTGCACGGAGCATGGTGTCTAGTCAGTTCAGAGGCATTGCTCCAGCTTGAGCACAGGGAAAAGCTCCCCGAGGAGTATGCCGTCCCTGCTGCATTTCAGGGAGGAACTGAAGAACGGGAGAGACGACAGCGGGTCAAAACTCCCAAGAAGTCCCCACTCGCCCTCTCTGTCAATTAGCCCTTAGCAAGTGCCCTCTCTCCCGCCAGGGGTTAGACGGGCGTCTGCGCCAGTGAATGAGACTCTAAGTCATGAGCAAAGGTGATGTCTATAGAGATCCGTACAGGCAGAATCCAGATTTGTGGTGGAGGGGTAGCTGCCACTCAGGAGCTAAGAGCTGGTCTTGAAGCAGCTCAGGAATGACACTGGACTCATCGAGAATAAGCACCACAGGTCTGACTGCAAGAGGGAAAATCGCCGTATGACAGGAGAATATTGCCATGGGAAAAAAAATGAAATATGTGGCAGTCAAATAATCCTCAAAACGAATATAGGTGATATACCAGTCTTTTAAAAAGTGCTGTTGTATTTTTAAGTAGTAAGAGAAGCTGGGCCTGTATAAAATTCCCTGAAATCCCCATCCTGAGCTTGGCCTTCCCAGTGGGCATGGCACCCCATTCTGCTTGGGCAAAGAGAAGCCGAGGGACAGAAAAGCAGTAGAAGTTATTAAGCCGTTGGGAAACCAGCACCGTGAAGAAGGATTTAAGTAGGTGGGATTATTTATCACTGAAATAACATCACCAAAGGGATGACTTCACTGTGGTTTCCAAATACACGGAAGGTGACCAGCTGTACTTTTTCCACTGCATGCAGAACAAAGGAAGGCTGGGTTGAATTTCTATGAGGAAGACATACAGAGAACTATCTGATCAGCAGGGTAAGTTACAGCATCTCCTTCGCGGAAACCCCAGAATCCCGGCACAGCCGTATGTCTGGCATGATTCAGGCGCTGCCCTGTCTGACACCGGGGCGGGGGTGGGGAGGGGACAGGTTAGATCATCCGAACTTTCCCTCAGCCCCAACACTCTGAAATCGGAATCAAAGCTATCGGCTTACAGTCTGACTTTCTTTCGTTTATTCTCACCCCGTGCCTGGGAAGGAGGTGTTACAGAGAGGCTGGCCCGACGCCCCATGACGACTCCTAACTGGTATCTCAAGATCAGGAAAAGCTTTTCTCCGTATACCATCTCACATCTCCAAAACTGAGGCCATTCACAGGTCATTTAACACAGAGGATGACGCAGATACCTTCCTCTCGTGGCCACTTGGGGATTCCTTGCGTCACTCCCCACAATGCCTGCTTTCCATATTAAGTCTTGGCCTAAGCTCAGAATTGTACATCATCTAAAAAAACTGATGAAGCCAAGAACCCAAACTATAAATAAGGTCCTTCAGGTTGTGGAGTTTCAACAAAATTGTTCCAAGCGTCTTATGTTTTAAACGAGTAAAACATTAATCTGACTTTGAATTTAACAACTGGCTTGCCTTTCTCGTAAGGCACCGTGAAATGCAAGGGAACAGTCAAAACACTCCAAATACATTCACAATCATATCAGATTTCTCTGGGGGAGCAAGTAGGGGAAAGAAGTGATCCAGCTACAGGCTTCACTTAGCAAGAGCATTTTCTGGTAGCACCAGACATCTGTAATGACCATGGGTGCCTTTCATTTCAAACCTCATAAAGGAGGAGTGGCACTCTGGCAGCTAACAGCCAATTAGGCCCACTTGTATGTTCTGTTGGACCTGAATATTTGATAAAAGAAAAAGTTTTTTTATTCAGTTACCAATACAAAAAAAAAAAATCAGAATTTTTCATCTAAAAATCCAGATTCTTGGCTTCTCTTGGAAAAAATGGGAAGCTCAGGAACCACTATGTGGCCCCTGCTGGTTGGAATAGCTGCCCCCTGTAGGTGGGACAGGAATGGTTCAGTTTGCCACAGACCCCACCATGCCTTGTTGCTCTCTGACCCTGAGAAGGAGGGTCATGGCCACCTATCACACTGTATTTGTCATTACATCTGGCCTGCTACCCTGGCGCCCTCATAAGGCACAGCATCTGCTGGGAAAGAACAGTGGTCTTCATCAAAAATATAGAACAGAACAGGCTAGTAACTGTCAACACTGGTGTTGTGCACCTCACGGTCCACCTGGTAAGGACACACAGCCTAATTCTTCTCTCCTTAAGAGAGCCAAATAAGGGTTGAGGCCATTTGGGGGCAGACAGAGTTTTCTTTTTTTTTTTTTTTGGGAGGAAGGTGTATCATTCCTTCTCCAGGAATAAAATGGCTTTTTTTCTTCCTTTGCTTCTTTTAAGAGAAAAGATGCTCAACTCTAGAAAAAGGAAAAGTTCTGAAAATCCTTTTTGGGGGGACAGTCTTCCTGTTTCTTTGTGCTTATGTCAGGGAACCTGACTAGGGGTTGATTAAAAAAAAAACTTTTTTTAAGACACTGGCAGCAATGAAGCAGCAAGACGGAAATCCGACACACAAACATACACAAACTAACTCCAGCGGTGTCACAGTCACAAGAGACATTTGTTTAAACTTCTGATCTGGGACTGTCTTCAGTTACTGCTAACATCTCAGTCAAATACTCTGTCTCATGAGCTCATGGCCCCTTCTCATTTTGGGCTCAAAATACTATTACCTGGCTGGGTCACCCACCTGAGTACCTGGGCCTGGACCTGAATGGCTTCTGATTCCTTTAACCATCAGTGTGTCTCAAAAGCCCAGGACTCGGCCTTCTAGAGGACCTTTCTGCCCCCTGTGCGGCTGTGCTGGGTCCATCCAGGTGGTCCCTGTTGCCTGTAGCCGACCTTTGAGAGGAAAGCACACCTTTACCTGGGCCCTCACCTCCCTGGTCACTCTCCCAGCAGAGCTGACTGGGTCAGACCCTAAGTCCTTTCTGTAGGGCACCGGTTTGGCAAGATGAACCGCTAGCTCCCTACCTTCAACTCTTGGGTCTGCCTGGGACCCTGGACTGACCCCTGGTCACCTGTCCAGAGGACACCGTCTAACTGAGCCACATAAGCCTTTTACTCTCAAGATTAAGGCCTTTCACTGACATCATCCCTATGTTCTAATTCTTGTTTCCCCACTTTCTGAAAGCCTGTGACTTGGCAGAACCTTTATCTGAATTCCATCTTATCATTTCCACCGTCCAGGACAACATGTGAATCGAAAATCACAGCTCTGCTTAAACAAATTCAGTCTCTAAGGCAACTCTTCCCATTTCCAGAATGAGATGGGGAGGGTGGAAAAGAATGTGAAACAGGGCAAAATCAGAAGTTGGACTTCTCAACTTATTTTGAGTCAAGCATCCGTACCGTGGTTTCAGTCTTGCTATGTCAAAGAGTCTGGGTTTTTGGGCATCAGAGACATTAGCACTTCAGAATAAGTACCCAGCTGCTGAATCCCAACTAAAACTTCACCTGATTTTTGTACTAGCACATTTTTTCTCTTCTACGTTCAAAACAAGCTCTCTGCCCACACTCCTGGAGCCCAGCTGACACCCTTCACCCATCCTGTCCCCCAGGCCTTCCCCAGGGCCGCTTTCTCAGAAATTAGCTTATTTCACGTGCAAAGCCACATACGTATCCTAACAGGGGCTCCTAATAGTTCCTGTGGCATATGCACCATTTCTTGGCCTCCATCTCTCTGATAATGTTCCAAAGTGGACTTTCATACACTAGCAAGTTTGGACTGACCAGTCTTCCCAGAGCACATGCCAAAGGATAGATGGGAGAGTCACACGTGGGCAGGATCTCTGTGCTTGCCCTGGATTCCACGGTGACAACATGGAATGGCACTCCTCCAACAGGATGCCTGGCTTTCTGGGGGTGAGGGGTGACAGGCCTGTAGCTCACTTGTCTCCCTTCAGAGCAGCTGCAGGAAACTCAATGCCAGAGAACAAATGCACACGTTCTTCTCCCAAGAAGCTGCCAGCTGCCTTTACAGAGCAGGGAGTGTGGCATTTGCATAAAAAATACACACAGAGCTTCCCTTCCCCACCTGCCAAGCATGTGCTTGGGCCGGAAGTCCTGCCCCATCCCACCGCTCACCCCTCCTTGGGAGGTTTCTCTACATCCCCCTTAACGCTGGTCCTATTTGCTGAAGCAGTGGCACAAGGTCTCCGGTGTTAGTGCTGAGAAAATAGGGTGCCAAAATCTGACAGCACCCACGAAAAAGGCGGAGAAAGAGGCTCATGTCCCCTCAAGGGCACTGAGAGAAGGGTTTCCACAGGGGAGACCAAGACATCATCACACACGTGCTGATCAACAAACAGGATTCAGACGGTTTTCCCTTTGGAAAGAGAAATTCGTAGAGATGACTTTCATAAAAAGAGAGTATTTGCTTTCCCCTTTTAAAGGAAATTCTTTCCTCCTAAGCTCTAAGTACCTGTTTTGTGGCAGGACGGAGCGTGAGAGACAAACCTTTCACTGGGCGAGCACACCAGAGGCACAGAGTGGGAGCTCACTCACAGGCTGGGCTGCGGGGCAGAACTTTAAAGATTCAAGAACTCATGATCTCAGCTCCCATGTCTTCTCCAGATGGCATTCTGAGGGCACACTCATTTTTCTGACAATCCTCTCCTTTCAGCTTCTTAAAAAGAGGTTTGTCACTGGTCCAGCCAGTGAGGAGATTGACTGCCCAGCCCCTCCACACGCTGCGGCATTGGACTCATGGGTTCTGATCCTTGTTACTGCAGATGCAGCTTTAGACCAGAGGCCAACTGAAGCAAAAATTGCGACTTCCAGCAGTACAGCCTCTGAGTATCAGTCTCTTAAAAAAAGACTGCCAGGCACCAACATGAGAGACACAGTGCCATGAAGGCGACCCAGGGACACTTGGCAGGTAGATCCTGCCACCCCACGATGCCTACTCAGACCAAGGGGTGGCCCTGGGTGCTGAGTTCCGGTGCTTTCTGCGTGTGGACCGACCCACCTGAGAGAACGGTCTAGGTGGTCAGCTGGCCCTGCAGCCCCCCTTCAGCCAGCCACACCACCCACTGATACATAAAGACTCGTTTCATGATAGTCCTTGGTCACCTTCTAGACGGTTCACTACACTCGTGACGCCCTAGGGTCTACACCAGAAACAGGCAGGATCGTCGTCAGTAACAACATGGATTCCAGGTAGGCTGGTACTGATTTCAGTGGCTATGAAGGCATTAAAAGTGCTTTTTCCACGTGGCATTTCAAATCAAAGTGGCCAACGGTGAATAGGCAATGTTTGGGGAGGTCAGTCTGAAATACCCGTGCAGGTATTTTCTGCTTCTGCCCACATGCGTCCTCCCGACCTCCCAGCATGGGCTCTCAGCCAAGGTCTGACCTAATGCGGCAAACTGCTGCCAGACCTTGTGGACCTGACTTTCAGAGAGCCATGTGGTTTCAGCGAATTGGAGACTTTGCCAAGATATCAGGTAGAGGGTTGGGGCCAGGAGAGCGAGTACTGGCCCGAATCTCACTCCAAATACCCTTGCAGGAGACCTCAGCTCCCTGTGGGCCCCATGATGGAGATGGGCTGGCGAGCCAGAGAGAGGCAGGAGCTAAAGTGGCAATGCTTGGACTCTTCCGTTTCGTTACAAAGGAGCAACTGCATGGAGTTCACCAGTGTAGCTGCAGCAACCAGGTTCTGCTTTGCACGCCCCAGAAGCAAGGAGCTTGGAGGGAGGGACTGGAGGGTCCTCCTCACCTAAGGAAAGAGGAGAGGGCGGTGGCTCGTCATTGTACTTCCCTGGGCTGGGCGCTCGGGCCAGGACGCACCTGGACCTGGGTTTGCATAGGTGAGGCGGCCAGCTCGGGCTGGGCACTCTTGTCCTGCTAACAGGCTCTAGTTCCCCGTGCTGAGGGCCCAGGGTCTGCAGGCATGACTCCCACTAGCTGCCAGCACAGAAAGAAGCACCTGAGTCGGCATCTGGCTGGGGCTCCCGGGGAGGCAGGGCCCGAGGCTCAGCCAGGACGGAGGGAAGGCGGCGCCCAGGAACCCAGGGTTCAACAGACGTGGCTCTAAAGGCGCTGCAAGGTGGGATATGGTAAACACTACAAGTCCCAAGAAATATGCACCCCCAAGACCCTCGCCCATCACCCTCAGGGCAAGATGTGCCTGGCACTCGGATGTTCCGGGTTTCAGAAAGGTGGCAGAATGTACACACTGCGGGTTGCTGGGCACATGACACCCTGGCGGGGCTGGGCAGCCCCCGTTCTTCAGAATCAGTACTTCCGCAGCTCGCCCATGTGAACACCCCACTACGCGGGACCAATGGACACAGCCAATGGAGCCGTTGTTTCCCACGGGATTGCCCTGCCCAGTAAGTGTGCACCAAAGTTAGACACACACTTCCATGCATTCTGGAATCATGGACAAAGGCTGCGGCCTGCATCAGAAAGCCAACCCACCGGCGCCCTCGGGGCCCCGAGCCTTACCCAGGCCTGAGGAGGACGACACGCTCTCCGTCAGCGAGGACGTCTCGGTTTGGTCTGCGGAGAGCCCCTCCATGAGGGGCAGGGACAGCTCGGAGGAGGGCACGGACGAATCGTAGATGCCCGAGTCCCGCGGCATGTCCGAGGGGCTGGCAGCCTTCACCGTGTGCAGCAGGGGTTGCAGGACGGCGGTGCTGTCACCCGGGCGGGGCGCGGCCTCCACGTCAGCGTCCGGGCCCCGCCGCGGGCCCTCCCAGAGTGAGTCGGCCAGCACCCTGGGCATGGCCACCTCGGCCTTGGGGCAGAAGTCGCTCCCGGGCCCTGGTTTGCACATGACATCGTTCAGCACCAAGCCGGAGTCAGACCTCCCAAGCGCCGGCCCCCGGCGGCAGAGGGGCACAGGGCGCCAGGGCGCGACCTGCTTCTCGAACCAGTCCGGCTCCTCGTCGATGAGCTGGTGCATGTTGCAGATGGCGACATACAGGGACCGGCCAGCTTTGCTGCGGAAGTAGTTCCTCCTGCTGACGGGCACTGGGCCCTGCCCCGGTCCCGGGAGGCTGTGGTCCCGGGAGTGCAAGTGGGAACAGAGCTGCGGCAGGTGGTCCATGAGCTTGTACTTGGCGCTCAGCCCCAGGATGCCGGGAATGTCTCCCTCACAGGAATAATCGAAGTACACGGCAATGAACCTGCTGAGCGCGGCAGCAGAGCTCTGCTGGGCCTGCCGGAGCTTCTCAGCAATGGTGGCCACGGCCACCAGGAAGAGCTCACTGTGGCCAGATCCCCAGCCGCCGCCTCTGAGCTTGTAGTTCTTCTTGTCCACAAAGTACTTCATGCCTTTGGAGCACACCACGATGATGAACTGGGCCTCGCGGATCTTCTGGGTGACCCACTCTCTCTGCCCTTGCCTGCAGAGGCTGAGGTCCTCCCACAGGTCCAGGGCCACCTGGAAGAGGACAGGGAACCTCATTCACCTAAACTGCTTGGAGAGCTGGGTAACGAGCGCAAGGATGTCCCAGGAAGGTCACATCACCTGTCCCTTAACCAGTATTAGCTCCAGGTTGCCCGGCTCTGAGAAGAGCAACACTCCGTGGGTGAGAGTTGCACACCAGGCCCCCTGCACATCATTTTAGCATTCACGTGGGGTCATCACCACATGTCCTACCCTACCAGGGGACAGATTGAAGCACACAGCTCTTAGCAACCTAAGTCACATATCTGCCATATGTGAGGTCCTCCAGGGACTGAGAGTGTGGCAGGGAGCACCCAGAGCAGAGGCACGCGTTCTATCTGATGGTCTATCACTTGGTCTATCTGATGAGCGAGGCTGTCTGGGTGAGGGCAGATCCTGGGTGACGATGACAGGACGTGGGTAAGGGACCCCAAAGCAGGCTGGGAAATGGGGGCTCAGGTCTGGATACCAGAGTCGCCCACCGTGCTGGCTGACTCGCGCCCAGAGAAGGCAACTGACAAGACAACCCCCCGGGCCACTCCCACAGCCCCGGGGTCAGCCCTGCGGTTTGCCAGCCACTGGCCAAAGGCTGGAGAGGATGGTGGGCACCTGCAGGAACATGGCCATTCTGGCTCACTCAGTGGGCACCTTCTACCATGCCTTCACAGTGGCCTCAGGATCACAGCCCTACAAGGCCTTTCACAGGGGTCTGGGGGGAGCTGGGGGGTTCCTAACAAAGGAACGAAAACCAGGCATGCGTGGCCACCCCGGGGGGCTTCATCTTCTATTTTCCTTTTTTAAAAAAACTTTTTATTAAGGTATTATTGATATACACTCTTATGAAGGTTTCCCATGAAAACACAATGTGGTTACTACATTCCCCCATATTATCAAGCCCCTACCCACACCCCAATGCAGTCACTGTCCATCAGTGCAGTAAGATGCCACAGATTCACTATTTGCCTTCTCTGTGACCCCTCACACCATGTGTACTAAACATAATACCCCTCAGTCCCCTTCTCCCTCCCTCCCCACCTGTCTTCCCCCACCCCTCCCCTTTGGTAACCGCTAGTCACTTCTTAGAGCTCAGACTGTTTTCACCGGTTTCTGCTAGAAACATCTTTCTGCGATTGTATGAGCCTCTTGTCTTGTGTAGTTCAGAATCTAATTCCCAGGGGCTCTGTCAGAATGTGGCAGCGACAGTCTCTTAACGGGGAAGGTGGTTTGGAAATGACTTTGTTTTCCTCTTCTGCTGGAAGGTGTCACCAAAGGGAAGAAAGTTCTCACTTCCTGACACGAATCCTGAATTTGTCTTACATTGCCCTTAATCCTCGCTAATGTCCATTCTGAAAGTTACTGGGAGTTTATACCAACATTTAAAAAATGTTCCCATCTTTAATCCAGCAATTCCGTTTCCAGGCATCTATGTTCGGAAAATCATCAGAAATAAGACAAAACCGAACTACTAAAATGTTTAACTGTTGAAATAAACTCAATTACCATGAATCAGTATGGTTTACATAGAAATGATAATAGTGTAAAGTTACTAAAGAGACAGAAAAAAAATCACTCTAATCCTCTTAAGTGAAAAACTGCATGTATGATTTCATCTTTGCAAAAAAAGACTACAGGGAAATACACCAAATATTAAGGGTAGTTCTTTTCTCCAGGTTAAGGTTTTTAAAGTTTGTGTCGTCCTTTTCCAGTTTGCAAATTTTCTACAGTACTACGCTCCTGATTGGAAGATGCTTCCCCCCTGAGGCTAGTCACTTACAAAGCAGAGCTAACGGCGGTCTGTATCTGAAGACACAGGCTAGAGTTGGCAGTAGTTTCTCTGTACACGTGCTGATGGCCAGCTGAGCCGCCAACCTCTGGGTCCTCAGGTTAGGAACTGGGCCCGCCTGGTAAGTATGTTTTATGGACACTAGAGGGCAGCCTCACCACGTGGAGAGAGTCTGAGAACCCCACCAGCAGGCGTTTCAATGCACAAACATCCAATAAATTACACAACCATTGTACAATTCCTGCATTTGTAAGAAACAGTGTGCCTTCCATGAAAGCCTCAAACTTCACTCTAAAATTAACACTGATATTACAGACGAGTCACATATTCATAATTTAAGAGAATAGTTGAGAAACCAGAGCACACTGAGCACGTGACACATTGTTCTCCTCTTAGCAAAGCCCCCCCCAGAATCTGTCTACACCCGCCGTTTTACTTGTCATTCTCTCCTTGACTCTCCAGTGCTCACCAGGACGTCCTGAGTGACCACGCGGCCGCCCCCGGACATGCTCCCAGGACAGGGGACGTCTCCCCTGTGCAACTGCTTTACACAACTTCCTGCCAGGTGGCTGCCGCTCGGGGCTTTGGAGCAGGAGAGTGTCAGGAAACATTCAGGTGACCGGCAGGACAGAATGAAAGGAGAGGGAGGCTGACCCCAACCTGGAAGTCAGGCCCTGACTGAGGAGGAGGGTCACCAGAGGGGCCTGGAGGCAGGCAGGAGGGAGCACACACCCAGCGCAGGAGACGAGGCTTCCGATTCCTCACCTCACAGCCGCAGAAGTCCTGGAGGAAGTAGGCAAAGCACTGGACGACATTCAGGTGGTTCTGGCCATCCTTACTGGAATAGCAGAGGAAGACCTTAGGCCGCGGCCGGAGCCTCTCGCTGGGGAGCGCCGTGGTGTATGTGGAGGACTCCGAGCTCTCTTCATCTAAATGTGAATATATATTTTCTAAATCGGAAAAGAAGATAGAGTTGATGCCCATGAGCAATGTGTTGTCCTATTCCCTGGGCCTCAGCCCCTAAGGCTACCTTTAAGTCGCGAGCGCTGACACGCACCTGGAGCGCCTGTTCCCTGACCCCACCAGCCCCTCGGGTCACCGCTGGGAATGGGACAGCTGATTTCTCCGGGGGAGCAATGAGTGGCCACGATCTGTTCGCCTGAAACTGACCTTGGGCAAGCCAAGCACACCTCAGGGACCCCCCGGTAAGCAGAGAGCACCCAAAAGAGCTCTTGCGACCAATGCACCAAGCGGATCAGGGAAGCAACGGCTTCATTAACAACATTCTTAAAAATATTCTTCTTTAAACACACACACACTTATATTGAGGCATAACTGACAAAGTCAAGTGCACAAATCTAAAGAGTACATCTCAATGAATTTTTATCTAAGAATACACCTGGGTAACAGCCACCGAAATCAAGATTAAAATACTGCCAGGCTGCCCAGAAGGCTCTCTCCTGACCTCTGACTTTGTAAGGGATGAAGGAAGCCCGACGGACCTCTACCCTTATTCAAACCTTTACGCCCTTGAATTTACTATCTTGAGTTTGGGAACAGAACTGTGCCTGTCCTTTTAGCGGTTCCTGAAGTTAAAAGTCAAGTATCTTAATTCCCGGAACCGCCTAGAAGGAGCTGTGGCTTCCCAGATGCCTGCGTGGTAGGACCGAGCATTCCTGGCGCCCGCGTCGGCCCTGTCCTGCCCACCTGGACAGGACACATCGCACGAAGAGATACCTTGTTGCTTCTTGCGGCACATCACGGTGAAGAGCGTCGCGAAGGCCGACATGACCACCAGCGGTGCGGTGATGGCGACGGCTCGGATGGGCCCAGCCCACGGGGAATGCGCTGCGGAATTTCCGGGTGGGGGGGGGGTAGGCTTTTAAACGTGAGCAGCATCACAGGTTCAAAGATAACTTTTTTTTCCTTTTAAAACATAAGCCGCCTAACAGGTTCTAGGACCCCTTGACCACCTTTCTCTGGTACTTGGTGGGCGATTACAAAAGGATTCACGGGAAAGGGCTGTAGACTACAGTTCAACAGTCAGTCTGCTGAGACAGTAAATACCTCTGAGAATGTGGCCTCAGGAAACTCCCCTCCCACCACTTCTTTCCCAAGGACAATTGACTTATTTAGTGAGTCCCATGACGCACACCACACTGGCCTTGATCTCCCAGGCATCAACATCTGGGTTTAAGGAAAGTCAGCTTTGATGGGACATCGTGGAAGAGAGAGGAGCTCAAGTTTTGCTGTGCGGCATCAAATACCTTGGTCTACTGTGGTCTCGAGCCAACATTTCAAACAAAAAAATTCTTACCTGGCTTTAAGGCATAATGCATCACTTTTCTTGTTGTATTGGTGTCATCTACCAGCTGCGAAACAGAGGATGCTCTGTGTTACTATTTTTTTTTTATGTGATAAGATCTCAACAGATTCATTCATTTTTCCACCTGTGGGCGGGGGTGGGAGGGAAGGTGGGGGAACTGCTGCAGCCTGTGAGCAAGCAGAGACTAGACAGGAACAGTCAGAAACTCCTTGGCTTTACCAACTCAAACTCAGCTTCATCACGTTGCCTTTCATGCATCAAAAGGTTGTTTCTATGTTGATGAATTCAGCTAGTGAGTTCCGTGTTCTAACAGTTTTCAATGAAAATGACATCTGACCACTGACCTTACAGGACCCTCCATTAAGGCCTTAAGAGGGTTGTGGAGATTCAAAACATATACTGCGACCGAGGCAGGTGAGAACGAGGCATTTTTACCCACATGTTAAAACATGATGGTGGTCTCTGAATAGTGCAGCCATGGATGAATTTTGAATTTCCCCTTCTAGTTTTCTTTCACACCTCTTTTTATAGTGGAAAAGTAATATAAAGCAAAGAAAAAACATATCATGTCTATGTTTTCAAAGTGGTGCTCAGAATGCACATATATTTATACAGGAAAATGTCAGCAGAAATCTGGAGGGCATAGATGTAGACATTTACATCTACGATTATTATTGTAGAATGTACAATCTGTAGGCAGATGTAATGGGTATAAATTTTGCTTGGCTGGTTTATTACTAAAACAAGTTTTCAAAGCTAAAATTAAAAAAACAACCTTTTTTTGTAATATGAAGGAATATTATGTAGAAACTTTAAATCACGGTTATGTGGACTATATGGTTACATAAAAATATTTATTTGAAATATTTCATGAAGAATGTCAAAGATCAATTACAATACATATATATATACTTCTTTAAAAGCATGTTAAGGACCATGTAAAAATATAACTGTGCACTCCTTCAATGGCTTACAATTTTAGTGTTGTAAACAGTTGGAATTCTACATGAACTGTATTCACTCTGTATAATTAATAATAGGGCTTTCTTGAGTCACACATACCTCAATTATATAGTCCCCAGGAGAAACATTTTGAAGGAGGCAGCTGGTTGTCTCTGTATTTTGTTCCTACAAAGAAACACTGTTAAAACTCCCTGACTGGGTAAAGGCTATCAGGACTCCACTTTTCCCTGAGCCAGAGGCTTGCCACCAGTCTTGAACATGTTTCAGAAGATGTCAATTATATCAGAAAACACCTTATTTGCCACATGTTCTCTGACCTTCAGTTTGATAAAGGGACCCCTTTATCATGTGCATGCTTAGCTGGTGGTGCCCTCAGCGATATTAGATCTTTCAACAAAGAAAATAATTAGAACACCCTTTGCTTAATAAAAGGGCAGAAAGAGAAATTACCCCTCCATGTTTGTGCATATTTTATTTGCCATAGTTTTAACCTAAGCAGGAGGTCAAAGGACAATGACAGAGGTGAGGGCCAGCAAGAAAGTGGAAGAGCACACCCATTGGGGGGACAGGAGGCACACGTCTGGAGGGCGCGGGGTCTGCGGCCGGGACCACAAACCTCTCTGGGTGTTCAGTGGGGCGATTCAGCAGTCCTGTGAGTTCCACGAACTACTCCCTGCTCTGTCTGACCACCTCCAGAACTCGGTCACTGCCTTTCTAATGCAGCCTTGCCTGTCTCCATGTCAAATAAGTAGCCACGGAAATGCTAGTGGCTTGGTTCCCAGATGTGGCTTTTCCACCCACGTTCTAGCTGTGTGACCCGGAGCAAGCCAGGTGATCTCCCTAAGCCTCAGGCTTCCCAACTGTAAAGTGGGGGTAACAGCAGCTTGTTTCAGAGTTGTAAGGATCCAATAAGCATAGAGACAGAGACTGGCACATGGTGAGCACCTGGACAATGTCTAAAACACAGAACACACTAGAAACACTGGAATAGAGCCTCCGGGAGTAAGGGATGATAGCAAAATGGCCCTGAGACACACCGGGGGACAACACTCGGGAATATCTACCAACCGCTGGGAGTCACTGAAGCCTAACATTCACTGGAACAATCTAAGTTCCAGGAGCCCAGGGATTGATTTAAAATACCTTGTATTCCCAGGCATACACCTCGCAGCTCACCTGCTTACAGGTCTTCCTCTTGAAGGGACCTTCGTGCTTGAGCTTGTAATGAACATAGAAGAGACGGAAGCCGAAGGTGTGTGGCGCGTGGTCAAAGGACACCTGCATGTCCGAACCCTGCTGGGTGACGTTCAGGTTCCGAGGCTTCCAGACTGAGAGGAGGGGGGGACCCGGAGTGAACGCCCAGAGGCCACCCCAAAACCACTGCAGTGGCCGTGATGGCCACACTTTTGAGACTTGACAGGTTAAGAATGGCGGTACTTACAGGGTTTACAGGCCAGGTTGTCCGGCTGTAACAACAGGTCGCAGGCTGTTAAGAAAGACGCACATTTTTAGTGGTAGGACAAGATGACCTTGTCTTTGAATTTCCAGCAGTTCAGTGAAACATAAACATGGTGCTGCTGGGTGCCACTGGGAAGAGTATAAAATACATCAAAATTCAATGATTCTCAGTACAGTGCAGTTGTATCTCATGAAAATTTTAACTGTACAATATAAAAATATGAATGCAGTTCATTTATGCCAACTGAATGGAAACAGTATAAAGTCACCCAGATTTTGAAAGCTTGTCAGGCATTACATAGTTTCAAGGCTCGTGGCCCAGGGCAGCGGGACTGTGTTCACACTGCTGCCACACGGAGGCTCCGTTTTAGCTGTCGAACCGCAATAACGTCAGCCCCTGGCCCTCTGCAGAGGTGCTTAGGCCCAACAGAACTCCAGACTGGTCCTGCTAACTATCTTGGCATTATTCTAACCTTCACCAGCATTCTTATTTAAAATCCTTTTGATGGAGCCTAAATTAAATGACAGCCAGGCATCTACTGAGTAGCAGTCCCACCATTGGGAACCAGGCACAAAAGCCTGTAGGTCTGAAACATGATTTAAATGCAATAAAAACACAGTAAGAGAGGTCAGTTATTCCAATATTACTAATCCAGAGAGAAACCTCTGGAAAATGTCCATACAAGGCAAAGAAATCAAAGGCTGCATCAAGGTCGCAGTGCACTGAAATGGCGGTCAGCGCATCACCTACATCCGTCTTATCCCCAAACAGACACCTTGATTCCAGCGTAAAAAACCCATCTTAAAATACGCTAGCTTGGATTTAGGCAGGCTTTCCTTAAACACATTCTTTGAATCCTCCAACCAATTATGTGTAAGGCATCAGCGGATGTTGTAAAATGAACGTGGTCTCTGCCCTACAGAATCTTATTTTAATTAAGAAAATTAGACCAATTGTTAGAAAATAATTGTGCTGCAGAGAAAACAACTACACTTTTTTTTTTCTTAAATGACAGACAAAAAGAAAACCGCTGGAGTAAGAATAAAAATTCTGCAAAGAGAAACACCAACATAGGCTGGAGTTGAGAACAAACACATCACGGGCCCGGGCCCAGCAACCAAACCACACGGGAGGGAAGGACAGGACTGGATGGGCGGCTGACCATCTGAGCCAGGAACGCCGGGCAGGAAGGGTGACCAGGAAGGCACGGGGGAGCTGCTTCAGGCTTCAGGCTGCCTAGGCACCGAATTCAAAAGCAGTGATCGAGGGTGCTCAGAGACACCCCACACCATGCATAGAACAGGTGGCAAGGGAGAGCCCGATCAGAAGGGGAGCCCAGCAGCGCTGGTCTGAGAGTACAGACCCCAGGCTCAGACTTCTGGGGATTCAATCCCAGCTCCCAGCAGGCCCTATGGCCTCTGTGTGTGTGATTCCCTATCTAAGGAGTCGCTGGAGGGTAGAATGGTAAGACTAAATTCTTTGTAGGGTTGTTACAGGGGTAAACTGAGTTAGTATTTAGAACAGGACCTGGCACATAGACAGTAAACAAACTTTTTAAAAGAGGTGATCTCAGGGCTACTGCCTAATTTTCTTAATCTAATTCTGAAAACGACAGGCAATTACTCACAGAGGCCGCCTCCTGATGACAGGTAAAAGACAGAATCACTTCAGCCTCTACTCTTCACCCCCGAATCCTTATGCTTTTTATTCCTGTTCTTCTGTTTTGTTTTTTAATCAAATGGTCTGAATTACATGGCAGTTTTATAGCACTTAAAAAAAAAAACACACAACTGTCATGTCTACTCTAGAATAAGCCAGGAATGGGTGTCTCTGGTTAGAGGAACACTGCTCTGGCCAAATAGTAATTCTAAAAGTTATTTTTCTGGGTGCTTTTATCCTTGCCATGCTGGTTTCCTACCAGTATTTGGTGTGCTCTGGAACACATCACTCTGTTAAAAAGTCTTTAAAAGCCAGAGAAGTGTCCTCGTAGGAACCAACCAAGAAAGACCTACTCACCACGTGTTCTGAAGAAGAAAGGGTGGTAATTGCTTTCATTTTTAATGGAAGGAAAAGGGACAATCTTCACAAAATAATCCGTTTCAAATTTCATATTCAGGAAAGGTTGAGATTCCATTCCCTAAAAGGGAACATAAACACGCATGACCTCATGGAGAAATGACCCACCCTTCCACCTACACACGAGGGTGTCAGTTCTCCCTGATGGGCACCCAGCCGCTGCGCCACGGCTGGGGGACGGGACCCGGGGAAGGAGGGAGGCAGGCTCCGGACCAAGCTCAGGTCAGGATCCCTAACTGAAGATGAAGACGGATAACGCTGACTATTCTTCGGCAGGGAACCCACGTGTGTGGACGCTGAAGCTCCGAGCTGGTGGCGAGGAAGCCACACTTGCTCCTGGGGGCACAGAGCCACCTTGTAGGACGTGAAACCCAAGAGGCGTGTTTCCCAGCGCAAGGTGCTGGAGAGGTTCTCTGGGGTGAGCAGCAGGCTTCCGTGGCTCTCAAGCTCTTCTCGCCCACCTTGGCAGACGGGGTGGACCCCACAGCCCCTCCTCCTCCAGTTTCACAGACTTTCAATAGACCATTCAGACCCTGGGAACAATGGCAGGTCTTGAGGAGCACATTCCCACGTGTGACTTACAGTCCTTTTGAAGCTACTGTTGAGCTGCTTCGGGTCCTTTAGGATTAGCTGTTGGCACTGTCTTCCCTCCGACTTCAGCTCCTCCAGTATTACGCGAAATCCTTTCAGGAATTCGATGCCTAAGCGAAGCAGAATGCTCTTATTAAAAGCGGACCTAATTACCTTTGAACACTTTCCTTCCTCCAAGATTACCATCCTGTCCAGGAATTCTTACTCTGGCCAGAATATCTGAGTTTACAGAAAGGAAAAACGCATACCCTGCATGCCTCAGGTACAGGCAAGGTGATTTTCTCCGCCCCACAATTACAAATAATGAATCTCTAATCCCACCAGCCATTTCACAAACGTCCATTATCTCTGAGACATTAGGGCTCAAATAATTACAGATGCAAGTCCCAGTTGATCATAAAAGTCTGCAGTGGGATATATAATTTCTAGGTCATTAAACTGGGTGTATTCAGCTTATGGTAATTCCCAATGCTGATAACAGATTCCCCCCAAACCATGTTTTCCCTGTAAGTTTTCGTCCTGTATTTCTGGGCTTGTTGCACTGAGTGATAGACAAAATTCCCAACAAAGTGTGTGTCTGCACCCAAGGGGTTCTTAGGCTTGAGATTAAACAGTTTAGGAGAATGCCCGTGAGGTTTACAAAGCGCTCCCTGCTCCAATCACGCCTGAGAAGCAAGCACCCAGGAGCTGCCCTGTGTGCTCCTCATACAGCGCACAGAGGCCCTGGACGCCTGCAGGACCCAGCCTCCCGCCACCTGAGCTTCCCCCGCTGCACGTCCGACTAGATGCTTTCAAAGGGATTAAGCTCTGATGGCCACAAGAGCCAGTGCCGCGGCTCTGTATCCCATGGAGACTGGAGGGGTCCGACTGCAGCTGGAGGTCCCCGAAGCCGGCCTCAACTGGCACGATATCGATTTCGCATTCTTTCTGAACACCAGACAGGGAGACGTGGTCGACCCTTCCCCTCCCAGGGCAAAAGTAATTACGCAGGATGCAATTAAGCAGGTGGGAAAATTATTGATGGCAAAGGCCAGGGAAA